GAGTGGAGGCATGAGGTTAGTGAGTGGGGGCATGGGGAAAGCGGTTGCCCCAGGCCATCACACCAAAAAGTCAACGGCCAAAGAGCAGAAGAAGAAGAAGAAGAACGCAAAGAATCAGCGGTCAGTGAGTGAAGGCATGTACGTAACGCGCGTCGTGTCTGATGTCTCATTTGCTGTGTATTTCCCCTCTCCCACTGCCTTCTTAGTTGACGGCTTTGGGCAGGGGACGAGAACGGCCAGCGAGTTACGATGGGACAGGGGGCGGTACTTCTGCCGCCCCCCTCCTCCCCACGACGGAAAGCGGGTGCCCACGCCATCAAGACCAAAATAACTTCTGTTTGTGTGTCTTCGTCCCACTGTTTATTTTGGCGACAGTCCCCCCCATTTTTTGTGGTGAGACGTGTGTCTATCCATCGATAAAACGATTACAGTCGTAGGCCTTCTATTAATAGTAGGCGGGTATGCGCCAGACCGATTCATATGCCCTATTCGTTGTATTCACCGTCTTGAGTTTTTCATCCGTGCTAGCCAATTTCGTGAAAATTCAATGGCGGGCACCCGCGTTAAATGACCTACCTGCCTTGTGGACGGCCTACGACTGGAATTTGTTTTTTCTCTCACTTCCACGCACCGAATTAGTCTCTATCGGCCGATTATCGAGGGCAGCATTATTTATTATTTAGCAAATAGTTCATTGTGTTGACTTCCACTATAGATGCTTTTTGTTAGAGGTCCACCAGAGAACGAATAATCTCTACACACCGGTAGAATAGTACGACACAGCATGATGTAGCAAGTACGTCATAGCGTTGGCTTGCAAAATGGACATTTTATTCTTCAAGGTCTACAAGCAAATGAACTCATCTCTGTACACGGAGAAAATAGTCCAGGAGAAGTTACGGCAAATACGATGTGCTTCTTCACAGGCCAGTGTTCGCTGAGAAGACATATCCGTTGCGCGGAAGTGAAAGACACACAAAAAAAAAAACAATCAAAGAACGACAACCATGTTTCTTAGTCTTGGCTTCTTACCGGCGTTCTGTATTCTCTGCTCCAGCAGTCGGCACACGACTCCCGACAGCACCGCGGCCCCGACCCCCGCCGCGAGCAGCCTCTCCCGACCCGGGGACGCCCCGGTGGCACCCCCTCCCGCGATCACGCTCCTCGCGTACCCCAGCATTGCGATCTTGAGCAGCTGCGGACCATTGGCACCGCGTGCGGAGTGGGGGGGGGAGGGGGGG